ACTCTCTGTCCTCTTCCTCCCACCTCCCCTGTTTTTTTTTTTCCTTTTCAGGTTTCTATTCTAGGCTGCCCTGATCCCAAAGTTCACGAGATCGCTTACCAGTATGGGAAGAATGTTGGCATCGCCTTCCAGGTAGGCTGTTTCCCTGCTTGAGTTGAATTAATGAGAACCCGAAGTTTAAACTTTAGAGAATTGTCCTGAAATCAATGTGATCTGTTTAAATTCCTTTTATAAATCTTCTTTTAAATCTTCATTAAAAGAAGATTTATCTATTCTTACCTCTCGTAAATATAAAAATAATAATTAATCTGTATGTTTATCTCCTCCCAGCTAATAGATGACGTGCTGGATTTTACGTCATGTGCCGACCACCTGGGGAAACCAACAGCAGCAGATCTCAAGCTGGGATTAGCCACAGGCCCGGTCTTGTTTGCTTGTCGACAGGTAAGTGCACAGGGACTCTCCTCTCCAGAAAGAAAGTGGGCATTGTTCCTTTAAAAAAGGATATTTTGTACTTTAATCTGTGAATTAATTAAATGGTTTTAGTCACTGTTGTACTCTTGACTTCCTTGGCAACAGTGGTTTTGCAATTGCGTTTTTCCTTTTTCATTCTGAAGATTTCCAAGCATTCACCAAGAGAGAAAAATTGACTTTAAGGAAGGGAAGACACAATATTGAGACTGAACACAGTTACCCACACTGAGAAACCAGCAAGCTGCACTTCTGTTTGTTTGTAGTGATAATACTGGTGCACGTTAATATTAGGAAGTACTGAGGAGGGTAAAAAATAAACCTTTTTTATCTTAAAATAGTGTTTTCAAGCCTTGAGCTAACATGGATCTAATGGTGAAATGGAAAAAAGGAAAATTAGATCTCCGCAAGGAAGGAGTTGTCTGTGTTTATGCCACCATGTGAGGCTGGGAAGGAAATTGGAATCCACCTGGTAGAAGATGCAGGAAGCTTTAGAGAGAGGGTGCAAACTAAAGCTCAGCCACAATTTTATTAGTTTTCATCTGCCTCAGCAGTTGCCCTCCGCCCTCCTCTGCTGGCTGTGTTTGCTGCATATGAGCAGTTCAGCTTCACAGCACGTGCAGGGAGGATTCCTATCAAATGTTTCTCTACTACCTTTTAAATGGTACTGCTAATAACAGCCTTCCATTAAAGGTTTGGGATTTTTATATTATTTAGGGTTTAAGTATAAAAGTCAAGCAATGTGCTTCCTATATCGTTGTAAGCATGACTAATATGAACATCACAATTAAATTGTCATTATATGGGAAGGAAACGAATCTAGAAAAAGCCGAGTCTAAGTCTCCGATGAACTGCTAGAGGTATCTCCTGTAAGAGTGACAGAAGTGTCACGGCAAAAAACATCTGTTCTCCACAACGTGCTGCTCTCAAACAACAGTTCTGCAGGAATTTGGTTTCAAGACCAAAGCTGTGCAAGGAAAGCACATCCTTGTTCCCAAGCACTGTGATACAGGAATCTTCTGAATTCCACACAGCTGAGCAAGTTCCTCTTCCCTTTTGAAGGATTCCCCTGCAGTGACTTGCTCTGAAGCTGTGGCCTGGGGTTGTTAATTAAGCCCCACGTTTCCTGTTTCTGGAGTGTCTGAAGGAAGGAAGTTTCAGCACCTCCACATGCGGGGCACGGTGACTTGCTCAGACCTCCGAGCTGATTTACAGGCTGCTGCTTGTGCACTGCTAACTGCACAGTTAGGTGCTTGGGCACAAAGGGCCACGGTGGCTACCACTGGTCACCTGTCACCGAGCTCCTCGGTTTCCAAATGGGAGGCCAGTAGAGAAGTACGGCCTGCGTGTGGTTTAGATACGGTGCCAAGTAGCTGAAACTGCTCATTTTGGTTGCATGAACATTGGGCTGGGCATTAGCTACAGATTTTTGAAGCTGCAGATTAAAACCAGCCCATGCTCATTGACTGTAGTCAAATTTTCTTGTGCCCCAGGTGAACTGCAGTGATTTTTTTCTCTTTTTAGGCTAGTAGGGCTTACACTATTTAAGATAATTTGACTGTTTGAACAGCTGTTTCTTGCTTCAAGAAAAAAAATCTCTAATCTTTACTCACCCATTTAGCAGGATCTTTCTTAACCAAGCTCTCTTTGCTGTGTTATTTGGGCACGTGGACAAATTCCGCAAGGCCCTTGGCTTTCTGTATACCCAGGCTACGTATGTAAAATACTAAAGCACCGCGAGGGCCACATGGCTGCAACAGGATCATCAAGGGGCTTATTTGACCTTATGGGTGCAATACCTGTGTAACAAACCTCTCCGTGGTGGTTGCAGAGGTGGGAGCCTGCACTCGTGATGCAGAAATCCCTGAACCAGCTGCCATGCACCTGCAAGAGCTCCCAGCAGGAATCCCCTAGGAATTACTAGGTCCTCAGGTCATCGTGATGAAGGGCAGGTGCTAATGTTTGCTCCCAACTGGCTACACAGCCTGATGGTTTTAAATTTTAAATGTTTGGGCTTTGCGATACCATAGTCTTGTGCGATTTCATGGGATTCAACATACGGATGTATCTGTGGGAACTGTTAGCCCTAAGGAACGAGAGGCCAGGCAAGGCGGCCCCGTCACGGTTCTGCTCCATCTCAACGTGGCAGCAGCTACGTGGCCAGCAGCTCGCAAGAGGATAAAAACTTCTCCCTTTGTGCTTAGTTTCCAGAAATGAACGCTATGATAATGAGACGATTCAGTAAACCAGGAGATGTTGAACGTGCTCGGAAATATGTACTGCAGGTAGGACTGGCATAAAGTACTTCCTTGCCGTTCACTGTCCCTGCTGAAGTGACTCTGCAATTCACTGCCTGCGAGGTCAGCGAGCAGGGCTGTGTTTCCACATGGATGTTGGGCAGCTCGTGCCCAGCTCGTGCTCTTCACAGTGCTTCACAGTGCAAGCAGAAACCTCCCCGGCGAGCAGCTCGCTGGTGTTGAGACCGTGCAGGTGTCCTTCACCCGCAGTGGGGTGGGTGCTGCAGCCCCCTGAGCTCGCGGCCCCGGTGCGCGGGCGCCGCGCTGACTGCAGCAACAATCGTGCAGGACAAACACGCAGCGGGTCAGCGTGGGAGCAGTGGGCAGCGGGTGCTCATAGCGTGTCCTCAAACAGTAGTTCTAGTCCTACTGACGTATATAATAACATATAGTCCTACATAATGTATTAATAGCAGGATTGCTTTATAATACACTTTTTAGCATAGATGAACTTTAGTATTTTGGGGTAGAAACATAGGATTGGGGGAATAAAGAATTAATCCCTTTCCCCTTCACGGTGTATCTGTTAAATATTCATGCTGCTTGCTGACCTTAACAAACCGAGGAGCTTGCCGGTTTAGGTAGCAGAGGCAAAGGGCAGGGGGGGCCGATTGCTTGTCCATGGCTTTTAACTGTGTCCTTCTGCAAGAGTGACGGGGTGCAGCAAACGACCTACCTCGCCCAGCGCTACTGCCACGAGGCCACGCGGGAGATCAGCAAACTGCGGCCCTCGCCCGAGAGAGACGCCCTCATCCAGCTCACGGACATGGTGCTGCTGCGGGACAAGTGAGCGCCCGGCCCGCGCCCAGGCAGCTACTGACCAGACTGTGCCTACGCCCACGCTCCACGTCACTCGCTTCCCTGACAGGCTACCAAAAAACTATTTTTTTAAAAGAAAACCTTTTTTCTTTTTTTTTTTTTTGGAGATTCTTTTTTTTTTTAAAAAAAAAAAAAGTTTAATGTGTTTTATTGTAGGAAGCCATGCAATGTACAACTGTTTTAGTGGGGGCTCTTTGTGGTAAGAAGGGGGAAGACGTTTACATGTTGATGCATAAAGGCCACAGTGAGAATAAATATAATCAATCAGTGTATCAGAACTGAAATGGCTCCGAATTTCACTCGTGTTTACAACTAATAGGCATGTCCTAATTATTTCTCTCTGGTAAACTCCTGTAGAAATAGAGGGCTTGAATGCTTTCGAGGCTGGTGAACTTTAAAATTACCTGGGCTTTCATATATAGGAAAGGCTTATTATGAAAGACCACGTGTACCCCTTAGGACTGAACACAAATGAAAGGTTTTCCACCCCATGGTGCAGGCTAGTGGTACGGGCGGTTGTTAGCAGTAACACAATGCAGAACTTGAAATTGTTCTAGTGGAGAGAACGGAGGATGCAGTTCAAGAGCCCAGCCTCCATCCATCACTCCTACAGCACATTCGATACCCTATAACAAAAGCATTCAGAAGTCCACAGGTCATCCCTATTATGGTCATTATCTATTACTACTGCAGATTTTTTTTGTCTTTTTGTTTCTTTTCTTCAGGTTAAGGCACAGAATTTGCCAGGCAGGGAAGTGCAATATCTCCAGCTCTGCCTGTGCTGCCTTAACTCTTCAAGGCCAAAGGCAGAGCCCCAGGGCAAAAAAACAACCAATCCAAAACAGCAAGAGCACAAACCCAAACACCTGCCACGGCCCTGCCTTCCTGGGTCTGTTTTGTTTCCTCCTCCGTCATATCTTAAAGACTCCCTGTTCTCTCCCTGCTGGACTGGACACGTTACCAACTGCAGGGAGAGCTTCCAGACACAGCAATTTGGGCTACAGACAGGGTCCAACTTACTGCATGCAGATAACAAGATTTAATCAGGAACCCTTGCTGAAATGAATTTTGGAAGAAATGAACTTTTAGAGTTTGTGTAAATGGGTAATTCAGGTTTCATATCTAATTTATTTGCCCTCTGTCAGTGATAGAGTCACGTTACAAACATTTGCTTTTTAGTACATTGCCTGGGACAACACAACCATGATTTTGCTATGGTAGCATTCCAAACTCATTTGCCAAGCAAACCAACAAAGTAATGGACAAGACCTTTGGTTCACTTATATATTTATGAATGGAAAAAGTCATAATGTAAATTTACTCATTAAAAAAACTTGGGTACAAATTACACATACATAAGACCACCCATTTTTTTTTGATTCACATGGACACCTTAGACCCGAACAACTCATTGTAATAGACTTTAGTGAGAATACTCCAGGTAAAGATTACAACAAATTGGAAGCATCTTGGATTTTTAAAAAAGTATATTTCAATACATAAGTTTGTATGCATGCTTTAAACAAATATAGTTCAAGAATGAGCAAAGAGTCTAAACAAAAAGTAATATGACCAGCACTAACATTAAACTTCTCATCCAGATTTTAATATGTTAGTCTAACGTAGTGTTAGTTACCATGCTGTACTGAAAAATGTAATGGCACAATCTGAATCATGGTTCATTAAATATTATACCCTACTTCCCCAGAATATTTAGGCTGGTCATAAAATTAACAATGCATAAGTAAATAAGTATAACCAGTAATAGACAGCTGCTTGTTTTACAAATTGCCATCAGTAAGACATACTGTCTCCAGAGACTTTGAGAGATGGACATTCAATCATACCATTAAAACAGCATGGCCTGAAGAAATGGGCACATTTTTTCAAAGTATATTAAGACAATTCTGTTAGCTTTTAGTTACCCCTTGTAAATAATCATGGTATGACTGAATACAAGACCCAACTTGAAAAGCAAAACATTTTAATCGGCATAGTGCATGATTGATTCGACATAATTCCCAGGAAATAAGCCAGTGACTCGGTTGCAAACTCCTTCATACCAGCCGTCATCGTTCTTCTTTATCACATAAATGATTGCACCCTCCATGAACGACAGCTCATCATCTTTGTCCTTTGTATAGTCATATATAGCAACAACTGCGGATTGAACAGGGACAGCATTAAAATAAACATTCATATCAAGATAGAGATATATCTTTATAAGCATATAAAATAAATATGTAAAGACTAGTTGGCTGGGTTTTTGGTGTGACCTTCAAAGGGCTGCTTATGAGTACAAGTACAAAAGTTACTGTAGGGAAAAGCAGAAGTGAATTTACAGCAACAGCAGCTATTTTACAGTACCTGCCTACTGGACATTCGGCTCTTATCTACCTCCCATTTACTGCATGCAGACATGCAGACATCTTCCATGAGGAAAGAAAATACAATCACTGATAATACTGGAATTAAAAGCTATGACTATGAATACACAAACTTTTGAATATCACAGCTTTATTCTCCACAAATATAGTATGCACTTGATCAGTTTTATAGATCCCAAGAAATTGTTGTTTCACTTCTCAGAAATAGATGTCTTGGTGCCTAGCAAATAATATTGCAGCATATCAGTTATTTTCACCTCAGGAGTATGTCCAGCAGACAGTCCAACTAGCAGTAAATATGAAACACAGTTTCTGCTGCTGTTGCAAAGACAGATTCATTGGTCACTAAACCATTTCATACAGTTCATAACCTATTTTCCTACCAGCCAGTTCTGGAGAAAACTTGCCACACTGTTGTTGACAAACTGTGCATCTTCTTTCCTGATTTTCTAAGTAAGAAATCAGCATCTCAATAATTCATGGGAAGAGACATTTACTGTATGAATTCAGGTCCCAGCAAAGTTATAGCAGCTCTTCCAGAATCACTGACAGGTCTCCAGTGAAGCCTCATGACAATTTAGAAAGGCTGAAGATCCACCCTAGCTATCTAATTTGGTGGGATAAGCAGAACTCAGACTTCATAGTCATTTTTTAAAACTATTTCTAGATGATTGCCTGGCAATCCCGAAGTAGCCATAAAGCCCAGTAACTCAGCAGTCCAATTTATATCTGCTTCTCATAATGATAGATTTTTAAAATCCTTTCAGTCTAGAGTGCTTGGAGATATTTCAAGATCTTTCCAAAGAAGGATTACAGTTTATCACATTAGCTGCAATCACTTACTAACTGGGAAGAGGATGGTTAGCTGTGACTTAGCATGGTGAAAACAATCACTGTCCCTGCTAAGTCCTTCATCCTCTCCAGCGACCATTAATCCTCCGCCGCGGCGGGAGTGCCGGCTGCGGTGCTCCCTTACCTTTCTCTATATAGTTTTTAGGCGCCCAGGCGGGATCTCCGTCCGCGTAGGGATCGCTGTACTGCACAACAGCAGCCTCCTCATCCTCGTAATCCACAGGGGGCGGTGGCGGAGGAGGAGGAGAGTCATCAAACATCGGCATCTCGTCGGGAGGCGGTGGGGGGGGAGGAGTCGGGCTATCGGCAACTGGAAACGTTTGGAGATTTTTTTTTTTTTTTTTTAATGAAAAACAGTAGGCAGATACACAAACCTGAGGCTGAACACTGTAGATAAAAAGAAGGGGGAGTACAGCACACATGACATGCACTATAATACCATGCACTGATTAGAAACGGACACGCTGTATTAACAGCTACGACACACAGCTACATTTGTTATTAGTGGCCGAGTCTATGTGTAAATGCTACGAGTCAAAGCACATGCTGCAGGGCGCAAGCGGAGCGGGAGCAGGGAGGGAGCTCCTGCTCGCCGGCCATGCGCTGAGGCGTGGGCGAGCTGTGGTGTGAGGGGAGCTGTGGAGTGAGGCGAGCTGCAGCATGAGGGGAGCTGTGGGGTGAGGCGAGCTGCGGTGTGAGGGGAACTGTGGTGCTGAGGGGAGCTACAGTACAGGGCGAGCCACAGCACTGAGGGGAGCTGAGGCGCTGAGGGGAGCTGAGGTGCTGAGGGGAGTCATGACCCTGAGGGGAGCCACAGTGCTGAGGGGAGCTATGGCACAGGGAGAGCCGCAGCGCTGAGGGGAGCCGTGGCGCTGAGGGGAGCCGCAGCGCTGGGGGGAGCCGCAGCGCTGGGGGGAGCTGAGGCGCTGAGGGGAGCCGTGGCACTGAGGGGAGCCGCAGCACTGAGGGGAGCTGTGGCGCTGAGGGGAGCTGTGGCACTGAGGGGAGCCGTGGCACTGAGGGGAGCCGTGGCACTGAGGGGAGCCGCAGCGCTGAGGGGAGCTGAGGCGCTGGGGGGAGCTGAGGCGCTGAGGGGAGCTGTGGCGCTGAGGGGAGCTGTGGCACTGAGGGGAGCTGTGGCACTGAGGGGAGCTGTGGCACTGAGGGGAGCCGCAGCGCTGAGGGGAGCTGAGGCGCTGGGGGGAGCTGAGGCGCTGAGGGGAGCTGTGGCACTGAGGGGAGCTGCAGCGCTGGGGGGAGCTGAGGCGCTGAGGGGAGCCGCAGCGCTGGGGGGAGCTGAGGCGCTGGGGGGAGCCGTGGCACTGAGGGGAGCTGAGGCGCTGAGTGGAGCCGTGGCACTGAGGGGAGCCGCGGCGCTGAGGGGAGCCGTGGCACTGAGGGGAGCTGCAGCGCTGGGGGGAGCTGAGGCACTGAGGGGAGCCGAGGCGCTGAGGGGAGCCGTGGCGCTGAGGGGAGCCGTGGCGCTGAGGGGAGCCGTGGCGCTGAGGGGAGCCGCGGCGCTGAGGAGAGCTGAGGCGCTGAGGGGAGCCGTGGCACTGAGGGGAGCCGCGGCGCTGGGGGGAGCTGAGGCGCTGAGGGGAGCCGTGGCACTGAGGGGAGCC